AGGTCCGAGCCCGACGCCAAAAAGACCGGTTGGAAAAAAAAAAAGAAAAAAAAAAACGAAAAAAGACGACAAAAAAAAAAGAAACTGTAAATTTTTTTTTTAAAGTTTGTTGCAAAGAAAATTGTCTTATTCTATAAAATGTTTGAAACCCAGGTAGATCTTTGTAATGCAAATGAGAGAGTGAGAGGGGCCCGGGCGCTTCCGGGCGGGAATGCGGGCGGATGCGGCACGGATGCGGGCGGAGGCTCCCGCCGTGGCCTCCTCATCCCGGCCTCCTCATCCCGGCTCCATTGCTTCCAGCTCCATCCATGACTAGCTCTGACTTTGGGTTTCCTCCTTTTTTTGGGATGGGGCTGGCGTGGCGGGAAGGGGCTCCGGCAAAATCCGCGGATCGGGGCGGCAGCCGTGGGATGCCCGGGAAAACCCTGCACCCTCCCCATTCCCGCTGTTCCATTTCCCTGGAAAAAGGAAAAAAAAAAAGGCTCCTGAAAGTGGGATTTGGGACCTCGTCCCGTTCCCTTTCCTTGGCAGCGGGAGGTGCAGCCGTTGGGGCTGCCGGTCCCAAATCCTCCTCCTTCCAGGGCCAAGGCAAGGYCGGATGCCGGATCCTCTCCGTGGATTCTGTCCTTTTTCGAGCGGAAAAGAAGGAATATTCCTAAGGATATTCCTAAGGAATATTCCTTTATTTTTCTTTTTTCCTCAGGGTTTCTGCGGGATCTTTCCCCTTGGGCTCCAGCGTCGCGGGAAAATCCGCGGATTTTTCCCCCCCGCGCTTGTCCAGCCCTGGAGCCGCCTGTAGGATCAGGCGGACAGATCAGGCGGGCGTGTGTCACCGTGACGGTGACAAGGGAGGAGTGTTGACCCCCTTGGCTTTTCCTCCCAACGGAGCCGCCGGATTTCCCTGGCAAACCGCCCTTCTATGAGCCCCTTCTTCCCCTCCTTGCACCATTCACCATTTCAAATTCCGATTTTTCTTTATGAAAAACTAATTTTTCTTTTTGAAAAACTGATTTTTCTTTTTGAAAAACAGATTTTTCTTCTTGAAAATCTGACTTCTTTTTGAAAATCTGACTTTCCTTTTTGAAATTCTGATTTTGTTTTTTGAAATTCTGACTTTTCTTGCAATTCCAACTTTTTAAATTCCAACTTTTGTTTTTGAAATTCTGACATTTTGAATTTTTTTTTTAATTTTGTGCTTTTAAAACCAGGTCTTTCTCCTTGTTTTTTTTCTCCCCCCCCGCCTCCGCCCGCTGCCTGTTTTTTTTTTTCTGGACGTGTGCGAGTGCGTGACCGTTTTTATAAGAAATCCGCTATTTTCGGCGCTTTTTGGGCCTCTAGGTGACAAGTGACACCGGAGGAGGGGACAGGCAGAGCTGCCACCCTTGTCCTCCCCATGGGAACCACTTGGGAAAGGAAGGAGGGGACACAGGGAAAGGGGAGGGGGTGGCACCATTAACGCAAAGAACTTTTGAAGCTCTATAGTCCTTTTTAAAAAAAAAAAATAACAAAAAAAAAACAAAAATTAAATAAAATATAGTTTTTTTTTTTTCCTGGGGATAAACTAGAACTGGCCGCGGTGTCGCCTGTCAGACCAAGAGATCTTAGCGACTTGGGTAGGTGTCTTCTCTTYTACTTTATTTTTCCTGCACATTTTTTTTCCTTCTTTTGGTGGTTGTTGTTGTTGTCGGGTCGTTTTTGTTAAATAAGATGAGGAGAAAAATAAAAAAGAATTTTAAAAAATTGTTCCCGGAGGCCCCCGCGCCTGTTCCTGGAGCCGTTGCGGTGTCGCGGGGTTGTCCGGCTGTAGCGGGGAGCCCCGCGGAGGCTCCCCTGGGTTTTTTAGGGATTTGGGAGCGCTCGGCAGGCGCCGAGGGWCTTTTTTGGGTGTTTTTCCTTCCTTTCCTTCGCCGTGGACCCTGTCACCGCGCGGGTGGTTGTGGACGCCTGTCCCTTCCCCTGGGGCGCTGGCACATGTAGGCGGCGCCGCTGCCGCTTTTTGGAATAAATGACTCAATAAATGCTAAATAAATTTAAATATTTAGAATAAAGGAGTAAATCCCGCCGCGGCGCCGGCCGCCATCGCTGTGTGTCTCTCTGGGGATGAGGACGCGGCCCGGGCGGCCCTGGGGACAGTTAATGGTGGCTGGGGGTGGGCACGGCCATGAGCCACAGTGGCCATGGGGACAAGGGGTGGCCATGGGGACAAGGGGGTGGCCATGGGGATGGTGATGGCCATGGGGACAAGGGGGTGGCCATGGGGATGGTGATGGCCATGGGGACAAGGAGGTGGCTGTGGGGACAAGGGGACAGTGATGGCCATGGGTGTGGTGGTGGCCATGGGGACATGCTGGGGATGGGCTGTGGTGGCCATGGGGACACAAGGGTGATGATGGCCATGGAGACAAGGGGACAGTGGTGGCCATGGGGACATGCTGGGGACGGGGACAGGCCATGGTGGCCATAGGGACCAGGGGATGGTGGTGGCCATGAGGACAGTAGTGGCCATGAGGACAAGGGGATGGACATGGGGACACG